CAGTGTTTGCAGTGGAAGAGAGAACTGCAGCTGAGAACTCATTAGTCTGTGTTCGTTGTCTTGCTTTGTGCTTGCATGCAAAAAATCTTTGCATCTCTTGGCTTTGTTTCTTATACTAGGAGAGCAGTGGGTCTGCGAGAACAGACTACAGAGCCATTCAGCTAGCCAAGAAAAGAAAGCAAAAAGGGAATGGGAGCAGCACAGGTGAGAAGCCATTCAGTTTGTTAAATTTACTACATACAGTTACGTAGGGTTTTTAGCAGTGAAATGGGAGCAGGTATCTGAGTACATTCTGAAATATCCTATCCAATTTATTGCTAGTTAAAATAATTATGCATGTGGTGTGCCATCTGTTTGTTACTCAGGATAATCACATTCTCTTGAATATCACATTCATAGTCAGTTTACAGAGAAATCCACACCATATGTTTCATGGCTGTTAACAAGACGCTATCCCTCCATCTCTTCATCTGCTTTTTATTTTCTTACCAAACCAAAAAGAATTTAAGGTCACTTTGCTTTCTGTTGTTTATGCTTTTGGTCTTACCTAGTAGGTTCTCTTTTAGTCAGTCCAGACAATGAAAACAGCAGCTGGATTTGTTTTGCTTCTGTGTTTCAGTTAGTAACAATGTGTAGTGTATGTAGGAATTTTTTTCTTAGTTGTCTGGAAATACTTGAACCTCTCTTAGATTTTAGCCTAGCTGGGAGTTTTTGTGCAAGGTGAGGTTTCAGATGTATCCTAAGAACTGTAGTTTCTGACTGGAAGCTTTCTGATGTGAATTACACACCATTACTTTGTCAGATCAAGTGTGATCCATGGCTCGCTAGACTTGCATGAGCTCAGGCATTTGAGCTGTGCTACCCTTGGGGCTGGGGTGGACTCTCATGTACATATATATGTGGTATAGTGCTTCTTTGCTGTCTCTTAGACCTTGCATCTCTGAAAATCGAGGTGATAATTTCTAAGGTGAGTTAAGAGACTAGTTCTGAATTGAGCTACGTCATGTTTCTGTATCTGTAAAAGGCATACCTGCATAAATTCTGTCTGGTTCAGTCATCACACAGAAGGTGAACTGCTTTATGGAGCTAGTTCTAAGTGTGCTTGTGTTATCAAATGTGTCTTTTGGACATTAGTTTAAAAAGATGATTGCACTTAATCTGCATGTCTCCTAAAATGATGTTAGAAAATGCCTATTTCTTTTCCTACTCAAGATTCCCAGTAGTCTAGTTTTCACCAGCTCTTGCCTTAATGCTGCTTGTGTGTTTCTCAAAGCGGTCTAAAAGAGTCTGGCCTTTCTGATCAGTGTAGCTGCATTAAATGAACACTGTAGAGGAAGCTTAGTGTTTCAAAAGAAGTTATCCAAGCCTTTTATTTACTACAGACTTAAACCAAACAAAATCACACCTGAAACAGCTGTGACAGGATTGTATCCTTACATTTAGTTTGATTAGCTTTTTTTGCTTTCAGCTTGTGATAAAAGCAGCTGGTTTCTCATGTTTTAAACTGAAAAATACTTGAGGTTGTGATAGTTCTACTTCTGGAGTCTGTTCTACCTAACAGTCCTTGAAATCTTTCTGGAAGTAGATGAGCTTCACTGTGCTCTTTTTACAGTTTGGAAAATTTATGTACATGACTTCTGAGGAAGTGAGTTGCAAAATTAAAAATAGAAAATGCACTTCTACTTCCTAATTCCTTTCTATAACTCCACAAATACGTTGATATTTCTGTGCTTCCACAGGGGTGGAGCCTAAGCTTAGCAGTTTGTGATGTGGTTTCAATGGCATTCATACAAAAAGATGCTCTGTCAGCAGTTGGAGTTCATCAGCTGATTGCTGTCTGGCCTTGGAGTAGTTATCAGATAGTGCTTAATTATATTGCACTGTTCCAGGCGTTTGCTGCGCAGTGTAAATAACTGCATAAAATTCCAAAAATACTAGCAGGAAACTTTGGCAAATTACTTCTGACCATCTAAATATTAAAATTGCTCTCTTTTAGGGGCCTCTGGCTCTGGTCAGAGGAAAAGCAAGGGTGGTAAAGTAAGCCCTACTGCCTTTTCATCATCTGCTCCTGGCAGTCGACTGGGTGGCAACGTAGTTCTGCCAAATGGAGGGCTGACAATAAGGGACCCTGCCACTGGAGCCCAGTATGTGCAAATTCAGCTTCTTCAGGTAAGAGCTGAGGAGGAAAACCATGCTCATCTTCTGTTACCCAAACTGGCATATTTATGGAAGAATCTGACTGTAGGAACTCAGGTACTGGTGCTCTGAGATGGGATCTTGATATCTGTGGTTATACCATGTCCATTAGGGCATTTACCCATAGGAAGTACTTCCCTGGGGAGTTTATATGAAACGGGCTTTAGAGAGATCTAGAAATGCCTGAAAACAGAGCTGGTTTGATCATACAACTGCTGGGGGCAGAACAGATGCTTTGTGGAAATGGGCAAAATGTTGTTACTTGAATTACTACTAATATTTAGTCCAGCCTGGATCACATGGGCACTGCAAGCGTAGGGAACATCCTCTTTAGCTTTTTGGGCTGGATACACTTGATGCAGTAAACACCATGATGGAACCAAGAGCAGCCTTCCATTTTGCATGTGAGAGTTGTGATCCTTCAAGGGCTTAGGAGTTTCCTAGTTTGGACAGGAGCTATGAGAGCAGCAGAACAGGGGCTACATTTCTCTCCTGAAGCATGGGGTAATTTTTCTTGCAAAAGGAAAGGCTTGCTAGCACACGTTAACTTGGGGGCTGCAGGGGAGTATGACTTTTTCCTCGAGTCTTTTCCTTTGTGGACACTTTCCCAAATTCTTACATTACTCCACCTCTCTCTCATTTACAAGGTAAATGAGACTGACATGAAAAAGTTCCTGCAAAATGAAGTTTTAGCCTAAACTTTGATTTCTGTAATGTTGAAATTAAGATTTTTTTTTCTAAAAAGACCTAGTAATTGATGGGGGCTGATTAGTGGAGCATGGCAGGTGACACATCTTTGGCCAGGTGTATAGCTGGATAGTATCCAGGGACAGGGTAAGTTCCTTCCACTTTATTTCCAGCAACACAGGATATGGGGGAAGATATGGGCAGAGTTCTCCATCTGTCTCATTTTCTGACAGTTTGTAACTTCTATGTTAAGTGTCAGCTTCACACAGCATGGCAAAACTTGTCACACTTCTGAGTGTTATGTCTGTGGGAAGATGAACCATTCCTTTTCAGGTCTTGCCAGTTTTCTGAGTCGATGATGACTGACTGATAGGCTGTAGACTGCTAAGTTCAGATTTAAGTGGTGGTTAGCTTTCCACATAGCTTTGTGGATCTAGTCCTTACTAGTACAGTGCAGTAGCTTTATCAGATTTTTTAAGATTGTGAGGCTCAGTGAAGTTATTGTGGTGAGATGCTTGGGGAGTCTTGTAATTGTGTCATGTTTCTGCACCCACAGGATGATTCCCCGGGAGAGGGAGATTTGCCCTTTCAGCTGAGCTCTCAGTCCTCCACGTCACATTCGCAGCTTACAGTGGACTTACCTGTTCACATACTTCAGGTACAGCATGTCAGAGCTGTTGGGTTTTGTTGCCTTGCCAAGCCTGGGAGTAAAGACAGTTTACTAGTGTCCTGCCTAATGAAAATAGTGTTTTCCACTGGGAGTTTAATTTCACTTAAAAGAAGTAGTAATCAAAGAGCTTCACTGCTGGTCTTATCTTGTGTACGTTACCAAGCTTTGACACATCGTGGTTCATTGTTTTTCTTCCTCTGTTATTGAGTAATGAATAAGTAAAGGTTACTCATTTATTACTGGCATTCCATCCTTGTTTTCATGATCACATCCTGCAGATTTTAAATGTCAGTCAAGAAAGAGGATCAGAATTAATGTGTAACAGGCTACAGGAAGAGTAGGAAGTGGGAAATAGTCTTGAGCCTAGATTTCAGAGCAGTGTCTGTATGGGAATGGGAAACTAAAAAGCCAGCTTGCTTCTACAATCATTGGTTTCACTACTTGCCCTTAATGAGTGTCAACGTTGTGTGAACTCAGAAAGCTTCATATAGCTTCTTGTGTAAATATTTTGTTGTCTGCTCTTCTGGAAAACTACCTGTTTACTGCAGCTGAGAATGGAGCAGCAGTGAATGGTTGGCATGTACCTAGATCACACTTTCCATTTGGTCATGTGGGATTTCAGTTTTGATAAGCTGTAGTGCAGTTGTCCTTACCAAGTGTGCTTCTCCTGGGTAGAAAATAAAGCTTGTGTTTGAGAGGAGCACCTTACTGTGATAAACCTGGAAATACAAGAAGGGTACTAGGGTTGTTGGCTATGGTAGAGAGTTAATAGAGGAAAAGTAAATAGTCAGTGATTTTAAATTTATCTCTGTTAATAAACAGCTGCACTGTTTGAGCGGGTCCCCAACGCTCCCAGTTTCCTGCAAACCATTCAAAGCATTTTTCTGGTGTTGGATAAACATCACAGCAATCTTACTGATAATTGCTAAAAGCATCTAGAGGTGAAAGCACTGAACTCTTCTTGCTGTCTGTTTGCTTTAACAGGAACCACACAATTCCACTGAAGATGATGCAGGTTCTGATAATTCTCAGTTCACTGGAAGCACGATAAACTTACAGGATCTGGAATGACCATTATTAAGAACAGCTGCTTGAAAACAAACTGGGCAATCACGTCTTGACAGTGAGATAACTGTGTGGGTCTTCTTCTAAGGAAAACAGGAAAACTTGGAGTACTGCATTGTGGTTGCACTCTTTGCAAGTTGCTAAGGACAGTTGCAGCAGAAAGATTTTCTTTAAAAATGTAAATCCCACTCGATGTGCCTGTGTCAGATACCCTGTCTGCCTGGTGGTTGTAGAGACTGAGGCAGACTGCTGTACAGTGTTCTTTCAGGGAGAAGTACTGTGTTAAACTTCAAACTGAGGTAATATTTACTGTTTTCACAGGAAAGCAAGTATTCTACAGCTAACAAGTACAAATTTGTAATCCTGCCCTATGACAGTTAAAACTTGCCTTCTGTTGGTCTCCTGCTGGAGCCACTGGCATCAAGAAATGAAGCTAAAATTTGCAAGTGTTTTTCACACACACAAAAAATAATTTTTGGCCCCTGTATTTTGGCAGAAAACTAAAATAGTGTCACATGTAACAAAATTAATGCCCTATGCCATGAAAATAAGATGCTCTAAAATCTTTGTTCTAGAAAGCTAGATTCTAAATGTTAACTTAGCTGTGAATCAGTTTGTAGCTCATGTTGAGTTCCTCCCTTTCCTTGCACCTGTATCCCAAATATTTTGCTGAATTCTTCCAGCAAATCTTGGAAAAGAAAACTGTAATAGAACTGTACTCACTATAAGTGATTAGCTGAGTCCAACGGTATCTGAGAGAGGTTCCTTTTATCTTTGTGTGTTCCCTTTTTTGGGAGGAATGTTGACCGTCATGTAAATTTAAGCACCTTGATTTTTATCTCATCTATAACTGCTGCCAAGTTACCTGTAAATTGGCCACTACCTGTTTATTTTGGGTGGTTTTATTGTTCTGCTTTTTTTTTTTCCAATTGAACACTGTTAACACTTGTTCTTTATCAATGTCACAGTGTCACAAGCACGTGGAACTTCTGGCTGGTTTACACAATATGCAGTTTTGAGAGTATTTTATGAGAGGAAAATAATTGTTACTTGGGAAGCTCTGCCCCAGTGAAAAACTGCAGTTTCTCTTGGGGGTGGAGGAGAGGTTGTATGTACTGTACTTATCTGGATTGCAGACACCTAAATAAGTATAGGGTTATATAGGAAAAAAAAATCCCTTTGGTTACATTTTAAGGTAGTAATTTAAATGTTTCTTATGGTGATGTACTGAATGCCTATGAAACGATGTATAGGAGTTTGATAAAAGGGTGTATGTACTGTTTTTTATTCTCAATGAGGTGTGTATGTATGCACGTATGTGTATTTTTTTTATTTTACAAAATAAGATGTCATGCAGGAGAACATTGTGATCTTTCTAATCTTGCACATATTTATTTATTTTACAGTTACACTGATGTTGAATTCTCACGAGGTCATTCAGAAATGCTTTTACTTCCTGTGCCTTTCAAACTATGTATGTGTCCAGACAAATGCTTCTTTTTGGTTGAGGACTTGGGGAGGAAAAAAAAAAAAAAGCATACAGGTTACATTCAACTTCAGATCCTGATTTGTAGGCAGTATTATATCCTCTGGTTGAACCAGTTATATTTTTCTATCTTTAGCTTAACTGAGCATTGAGGTCTCTCTGTTCCTCTCATCTTGAGTTTATAGCTTATGTCCCAGGAATATATTAACCCTCTTAGGCTGGATTTCCAAATCAAACTAATTGTTAGATAAGATCCTCTACCTGGTGGCTGTGACTGCAGCATGGATTCCACTCCTGAGAGGTAAAAACGTTGAGGAGGAATTAGACTGAAGGGATTACTGGGTCTTGCTCTCGTGGTCACTGTGCTCTCCCTGGAAGCTGAGATGCCTCGAGCTCCTGATGCCTGCATTATTCTGTTCTCAAGGACCATACAAGTTCTTAATCTATTAAAATGGCCAAGGAACACTCCATCTTTTTATGGGACTTGCAACCAAATCTTTCTACTTCTGAAAATGTACCTCACTCAGCTTTGTAAGTGAATGTAAAGTGCTAACCTCTTGGGGCTGAAGTTTGGATCACGTGGCTTGAACTCCATTGCTGGCAATGGATACCTGAAGAACTGCTGGTGCAAAAGGGTTAATAAAGCTTTTTTTTATGGTCAGTTTGTCACTGGGTATTTTCTTTGTATGGACGCATCTGACATAAAACTATGTGTTAGCAGCTTGAGTTCTGCAGAGCTTGTGTTTTTCCTTCATGTATGCCTTGACAGTAGTGGGGTGGAGTCTATAATGAAACCCATCCTTTGGATTAAAGAATAGCCTTTGTTTTTTTATAGTCCTTCAACAGATTTGTGATTGTAATAAATGTCTGGTAGGTGCCTGCCTTAGTTGTGCCTTCACAAAGATTGATACCTGGCACTGCAGTAGATCTCACTAGTCAGGTTTGTAGGGATAGTGAGTTTTGCGTCAAAAACAGAATGAGAAAAACATTGTTGCTAGCAGGAGCCTGAGAAGCAAAATGAGAGAATTTTAGTTTATTTTCACAGGCAAAAGATCAATAGGGGGGGAAACAGGGTTTCCTGTCACAGCAACTTTTCCTAGGATCTTGGGATATAAGAACATCTTAAGGTAAGAGGAGAAAGGAATTTCATGGGACCATGAAATTCAGCAACTGAGCAAGGACTAATGGAATCTAGATTTATGAAAAACTTTCTAGAGCAGCATCAGCCCTGCATGCTGTGGTTAAGGGTGTTCTGTCAAGTAAAATAATAGAGTTGTTCTTCCTTCTCCTTATCCATTTGATCTTGGCTGTACCTCTTCTTTTCCTTCCTGGCGGGGAGGTTGGAACGGAACATCAGCCTCCTGCCACTCTGCAGAGGAAGAGGAGGCAGGTGTGTCAGTGCTGTGTCTGTACCACGCAGCCAAAGCTGCTTCACGCTGCTGGGCTCTCTGCCCCTTACTCTCAGTTTTCTAGGTGGGTTTCAGTGTGTCTATTGTGGTTTCTTTTCTTACTAGAAAATGAGTGTCCAGCACCTGCAGGCTGTGCATGTGCTTGTGCCTCGGCTTCTACAACATACCTGCAACTGGTTTGTGACTGAAGGCTCACTTGTACTGGCTCAAGAGGGAGGGAGGTTGGAAGTGTGAAGATGTATCTGAGGAAGCCTGCAGGACCCTCTGATTTTATCTTGAGTAAAGGGGCAGGAACTCATGGTGCATGTTCTCAGTTGCCTGTGTTGTCATCAGCTTGGTGTGTGACTGAGAACTGGGATGTTCTCACTGTTGTGTGGACCTGTGAAACATGCAGCAGGAGTCATGGCCTGAAGCTCCACACTGTGCCCCCTGAAGGACCAAGTCTCGGTTTGGCATAGTGCAGAACATGCCAAAAAAGGTATGGTTTTGTGGTGTGGCTGAGCTGATCTAGGGCCTTGCTGCTGTTCTCAGGAATGAATTGCTGCTGCCCAGTTCTTCCTTTGTTCATTTTAATGTGTGGGGTTTTGTTTTTGGGTTTTTTTTTTTTAATCCTTCCAAGCTAGTAAGTTGAAATACAGTTACTGACAAAGATGGCAGGTAATGGAGGGAGCCACGTGGTCAAGACAGAAGGATAGAAGGGTGATGGAAGGACACTGAGCTGGAATACCTCGCAATGTAACTGACTTCCTAGCAGTTGCTCAAGTTACATCAGTCCTTCTAAGATGGGCTACACGAGTATGAGTGTGGTCAGCACCCAGCTATGGAGGCTCCTAGTAACACTCTTTCCTTAAGTGCTTGATGTTCAAGTACCCCTAGCTTCTCTGAAGTGGGCTGTTGAGGTGAGGTGTTCCTACAGATTGCTGCACTTACTGGTTTTGCAGCTGTCTGCCATCTTTCCAGGGCCTTTTTCAGTCTTTCCTCCTCCTGCTGCCTCTGCTGTCTCAGCTTTTCCTCTCTGAGCCTTTTGAAGGGAGCAAATAAAGGATGGGTTCAATGTGGTGTGCAGCTGTACCAAATACGCTTTGGACACACAGCATCAGCATCTAACATCACATCTTGCACCTAACGGCGTGAGACCGCCGGAGCACGGGGGCTGGGGCACAGCTGATGCTGGACTCTGTTGCTGTGAAGGTGGTCAGAGGAAAACACTTTCTGCAGTTGATCCTACTCTTTCTGGAGTGAGGGGGTGGGAAAAGCATGTCAGGCTTGGCAAAGGGAGGTGCCAGGCCGTTGTTCTCTGTTACAGACATGTTCTGTGCCACCCTCAGCAGGTGACTTTTGCTCTGTGGTTGACCAGCATGCTCCTCAGCTTTGTGGGTGAGTGATGCTTGTTGTGTCTTGACTTCTCACCAGTGCAACCAAGTCTGTAACATACAGATGTGAGTAGGAGGGTTCCACATCCATGTGGGAGGAGGAAGGTTCTACACTTAACTGGCTCCAGTTCCCTATGGAAATGAGGCACTGGAACAGAAATGGGCTAATGCTGTGGCAGAAGGGAAATGGATTCCTAACCTTGTGATCTTCAGGAAAATTTTAAATGCCCTTTGAAGGTTTATCTTTTGATTGGCTGTTTTTGCTATGTATTTGAAGGGGTCACATTCTTTCCTGAGTTCTTCTCCTTTATCCCCAAAGTAGAATAAATTTCTTGTTTCTTTCGTAAGTTGTAAGTGCAAAACCATTCACAGAACATCAGGAAGCCACATCACACCCTTTTTACTACAGAGGTGAAGAAAGCTGCAGAGAAAGCAAGCAGGAGGGAACTGTCACTGTTCTGGCTTTAAATCTTCACACTGTTTGTTCTTGTGGTGGTGTTCTCTGCTGGATTAAAAAAAAAAATCTCTCTGATTCACCTGAGGATGACCAGATACAATCAGCTGTCCAGCTGCATCATTTGTCTTTGTGAGGGGAAGTTTCATGTGTGTAACTGAGCCAAAAGGAATGTGTTCCATCTTAGAACCTAAATTTGTATTACTTGGCTGTGACTTAATTTAATAATACAAGTTAAACTAAAGAGTTTTGTAGAAGAAACACTTGAAAGCTTGGATTGCTGACAAATGACCTTATGTACCTATTGAAGCCTGACGAAATATCAGGGCATGTCAAACTTTGTGTTAAATAACTACAGAGGAATAACTTCCTATTTAATCAGTTTAAATATTGTTACTGCAAATGGTCTTCTCAAGAAGATGATTTTCATCACTGAATCTGTTTTTGTTTGGTTGTTTTTTTCTTTCTCCATATTTTGCCCTTTTCTAATATGGCTTCCAGATCTTTCCTAGTGTAGCTGTGGGTTGCTCCTCACTAATCAGGAGGTGTAAGTACTATGAATGCAAAATCCTTACAGAAGTAAAACGGGATGGATTGGTCACGGGGGCTTTCAGATTGCTGTTATAGTTTCCTGGGTTGATCTGACAAATCTGGCTCTTTCAGTGGCTTGGCTTCTAGCAGTCAACATTTAAAAACAGAGACACCATTTCTAGATGAGGATCTTGTCTTACCTTAATCTCTGTTCCTTTTTTTTGGCTTTCACAAGGTGTTCTAGCTTTGCTGGTGGGATTCTCTCCAGATTGTCCAGTAAATCACTGAGCTGTTTTTCTATCACCATTAGCATCTGCACTGTCTGCAGATTTGTCTCCTCTTCTCCAGTGCAGTGGCGATAGACTTCTAGCACCTTCTTGTTCAGGCTTGTGAGCATTTTGTCCTAGAGATGAGAGGAGATATGGTGAGAGGCCTGGCTGAGTTCTGCCCAGTAAAACCACAAAATCCTTTGAAAAGCAAAGGAGGTCAGTGCATTTTAATTTCCTCAAGACTCAGTTGTGTGTTTCTGGGTTTGCTTAACACCAGTGTCTGGGACAGATGATTATATCGAGCTGTTCTCCTGTTGGTCTTGTCTTCCCAGCTTTGCTGTGGCCTGGGACAGGTACCAGGCAGCTGCCTGGTTACCTCTGTGAGCCCTACTCCCAGCCCCTAGCAGCTGAAGGGAGCAGACACATCCACCTCGTCTGATGCCTCAGCAATGCCCCAAAGTGCCCTTGCTGTACCTCCACTGCTGAGGAACAGTGCTGATCCCTCCCCAGGGCAACCCACTGTCTGCTTTTTTCCCAGGATGGATGTGGCTGGTGGAGAAGAACCATTTATGCACGTACGACCCCCTCAGGGTGTACCTGGTCATCAGCTTCATATCCTCCAGATAAAAAGGGGTCGACTTTGACCTTCAGGTCTGCTGCTCTCTCTTCTTCCTTGGCGATGGAGGATTCGAGGGTGGCTACCTGCTGTTTTAACTCTGCTAACTTCTTATCCCTAGGCCAGAAGAGAAAAGAGGTATTTTGAAAGAGCATCTCTAAAACATGAATCCTCTGGTGCTTTCCAGCGTGGGACCATCCCTCCTGCCGCCGGCAGATGGAGGTAACACCTCATGCCGTTTCTGGGGAACTTGCACCCACAGCTCTGAGAGCAGCAGGAATTGGTGATTTTTGTGGGGTAACAGTTACTGTGCTGGTGTGGGAGAGGGAGTATAGGTAAACATTCAAGTTCTGTTTAGTAAGTCAGTGGGGGAAGTAGATTACCTCTAAAAACTTTCAGAAGGAGACAAGCTACACTTCAAACACAACTCTGTGTGTCTACCTGCCATTGAAATACTGCATTGCAGTTATACTTGGGTTCCCTGATGCCTTCCTCTAGGAAGTGTTTGCATTGAGTCAGAATAGGTGCTGGTCTGGATCACTCCAGGACATCCTTGTTTCTTCCTTTGATCTTTCTTTATAAGAATTACACGATACTTCTGGCTTAGTTCCACTCTGGGATACTAAATGCATCCCGTCCCCAGGCTGTGTCTTGCGGACTGAGGAACTAGTCCCAGGATCAAGTCCCATCTCCTAAATTTTGTAGATGAGTCAGTTTCCTAGGAGCTCACAAGATGGTGAGTTGGATGGGCACAGCTGGGCTCTAAGGTATAAGAAAGAGAATCTTTGTTATGTGCTGTGTGAGCAGCATCACTTGCAGTCTGCAGCACGCAGGCTGATGGTGAGGGTGCTAGTGGGAGGAAGAGAGGGCCACTTGTGTTTGAAAGCTGGAGCATGGGGACCTCTTCCCACCACTTGCAGGATCTCACTTACATGATTTCATGTGTGTTGATGACCTTGTCCACACTTTTCTCAGTCTCTTGGAAATTCTGGATGAAGAACAAGATCTCTTCCTCCATCTCCATGAAAATAGACAGCAGTTGTTGGGGATCAGTAAAGTATAACTCAGGCTTCTGGAGTGAAAAACACATGTGATGAGATTTTGTCCTCCTCTAGCTTATTTTCCATTGAAGTACCTGCAAGTTGGTCTGCACTAGCTCTGGCTGTTCAAATGCTCTCCCCTGTAGAGAAACCCATGACTGTCCACATAAAAATGCCTCCTACCTTCCCACCATGTGTGCATTTTTACATTGCCTCAGTAGCTCAACCCAAAACAATTTGCATTACTTTTTACTCCCCAAAATTCAAACATCTGTGAGTGGGAAAACTTCCATTTCAGGAATGAAACAGTAGCTTCACTAATTTCAAAATCTCCCATTATATGATGTTACATCTTGTTGAGGGATGGCAAGCTTTGAGATGATAGTAGAGTTTTGGAAAGTGGAGGAGAAGGAAAGTTAAACTAAAGCATTTATCTAGTGGGAGGTGTCCCTACCCATGCCAGGGGGATTGGAACTAGATGATCTTTAAGGCCCCTTTGGGTCCAACCCAAACCCTTCAATGATCTATAATACATGTTGGTAAAACATGAACATACATTTACAATTAGTCGCTACAGTAACTTCTCAATATCATAATGAATGCTTAGAAGGTGAGAGAAATTAGTAACATGAATCAATGACACAAGACAAACAGAAAGTGTAAATATTTGAACACTAGACTTCTGACCTCATCTTCATCTGAGCAGGTTTCACTTTCTGCATCCTCCAATGAACTTCTGGAAAAAACATTGTGTGTATCAGGCCCTTAGAGGAATGACAGCTGGAAGGAGACCTTGTCAGTGAGTTATGGACTCTGTTGTTGTTTGCTGGTGCTGTTTGCTCCTGAACAGTCCTTTCTTTGCAGTTTCACACGTTTGCCCCCCTGTGGCTGTGGGCTATTTGGGGGTCATAGGAGCTGGGGGTCACCCAGACATGCAGTCCAGAAGCCACATCTGTCCACAAGCAAGCTGCCTTTTGAGATGCTCCAGGCTCTGCTGGCCAGCAGGGTCAAGATATGACCCTCAAGAGAAGGTGGTGATCCAAATGCCTTTAATTTCAATGGGATGTTTTGGCAGTTTGGGCAATGAGAAGGCAGAGATAAGAGCCCTATCAAAAAGGCTGAGGCAGCAGTACAGCCAGTGTAGAGAAAGCCATGTGCTCCATGTGGGACATGGCACTGCTCCTAAACAACACAGTGTAGCCCCAGTGGGAGTCTGTAGTTTTTACTTGCCCTAGGAGAAGGTTATTGAGTGCTTCTTCTGCCACACCAGCGGTGCAGCCTCTTGATTCCCTGCTCAGTCCCAGGGACAAACCAGGACAAGAGCTGTAAGAGCAAGGCAAGAGGTGCCTGAGTGATGTTGGCAGCAGAGCCTGCTCATCTCCTTTGCTTGCATGTGTCACACTGTGCCATGGAGGGGTGAAAAACCTCCATTTGCATCATCCTAGTGCCAGCCCCACGTGTCTGCATCATTCCTGCCATGTGTCTGCAGCCTCGTGGTTGCAGTGGCTTCCTAAGGGATGGCACACGTTAGCCCTGCTTTGGAGAACCTGGCACCTGCAATGCTCCGTGGGGGCAGAGGAAATGGCCCTACAAGCAATCCCCTACTTTGAGCTCTATTGATAGCCAGGTGTTTTGGCCTTCGGAGACTCACCAGCCCCCCATGCTTTGCTTTTCCAGTCAATTGCTTTCTTTAACTTGAGAAGCTGGAGGTGTTCATACTTGTCTCGTACTTCCACCTTCTTCTCAGGCTGGCCCTGCCAGCAGTTACAGTAGTTACTCTGCCTGCATCCCAGCACATGCTGTCTGAAGGCACTTGCAGGAGGTGGCCAGTCCATGCAATGTGAGTCTACAGTGACTCTGGACCTTTGTTAATGGCAAGAGAACAGGCAGCTCTTTGCATGGTGGCTGTGACCAACAGTGGAACCAGCGTCTCAGCCACCAAAAGGTCACAGAGAAACTTTGCTCAAGGACAAATGGCCAAGGTCTATGATTTCTCCTGGGCTTATCTCAAGGCCCAAATTCTTTGGGTAGGGCTTTCAGCAGAGGATTTGAGGATGGAGCTCTGTTGGAGTAGGTACTTACTGACTTGCACACTTGATGGCTTTCTACTGGTATTTTGATTTGTTCCAATAACACCCAGATCTAAGTGTGCTCACAGCAATGGTGAGGAGTGGGTTTCCTCTAGAATGACTCCCAGTCAGTTCAGAGCTCTCTACAGTACTTAAGTCTCTTATTTATTTGCATTGTTTTGTACTTACAGTTTTCTTGATAGAGGCTTCAATAGTTTTTTGAGCTGTGGCCTGATCTCATGTAACGACCTGAAATCCAGAGTTTTGGAAGGCAGCAGGGAACATGGCACGTGTATGTAACTGGTACTATAAGGGCTGGCAGCGTTCGTCCTGGCTATCAGATCCCAGCCTGCAGACAAGAAGAGATGTACACTTGGAGCATGGGGCTGTCCCAGTGACGAGTGGGCAGCTCTTCCCTAGTACTCACCCTGCCTTGTGGTGCTGGGAGGCAAGGCACCTTCTTCATTAGCTTTGGATGCTGTTTTCAAATCCTTTTCCTTTTTTTTTTTTGAATGTTCCTCCTGCCACTCTTTTGGAGATAGTTCGTAGAGGAAGTCCCTGTACATCTTGTACTCCTGCAGAGTATTCTTGTATCTGGATATGTCACTGGATTCAGAGGAGTGGACAAAATTTATTAGCAGGGAGGAAAGCTCCTGTTTGAACAGGTTCTTTCTAACTCTTGGCATTCACCTTCGCCTAGAGAAGGGACAAGAGGGCACGTGCTTTCATGGGCATCCAAAGATAAATGGGAGCCTGTTTTGCATGTTCTTTGTGGTTTCTCATGTGGAAGCTGTTTGGTCACATATCTGTGGCCAGACCCTTGCAATGGCACTGGGCTTGCTAATTCGGAAATTTTTACTTGAAAATGAATGAGAAATCTTGTCAGCTCAACTCATATTGGGATTTTTTTCCCCCCTTTTGTCTTTCTCCAGCTCTCCAGTAAAATACATTACTTAAGTTTCTTACTTTCTAATCTGACACTAGGCATTTAATTTTGGTTTTGGAATATTTATACTTTAAGAAAAAAAAATTACAAACTGTGTGAGTTGTTTTAGAAACAAAGACAGCATCTGGAAAACAAAAGCTGAAACATTTTAACTCAAAAAAAAAAAAAGAGAACATTTTTAGACATCTTTTTCCCCAATTCCCTTTTCCCCTGAGGGCTCTGAGGGTATAGTGCTGTAGGGGCTGTTAAAGGCTAGGCAGGAATAATGTATAACTGTTACCTTCGGAGATCCTCTATTTGGGAAGTGATTTCCTGGATCTCTCTTATTTTCTTTGTCTTTGCTGCAGTTTCTTTTCTGGCACTAGGGAAGAATGCATAAACATAAGCCATAAAACAACTTAGTCGTAAGTGGGTAGTGACTTGAGGTGCATATAAAACAGAGAGAAAGGTGTGGGCGAGTGCTAGAAGTCTCTCTTACATCCCAGGCAATGCCTGGCTCATGCCTGCTTGTCTTGGTAAAGAGAGTATGCGGTCAAGGTGATGCTGCCAGGTTAAGGCCTCTCAAATTTGGCTGCTGCTGAGCATCAGCTGCTGCTCTGCCCTTGTGATACCTGTAATGGACCAAAGGTCTTAACTTGCTTCACTCAGGGAACTGTTCCTGCTGTGAGGGGGTGGGCAGAAGCATCTGCCTCTCATATGAGTGTTGTGAGAAGAATAGTAGTAGTGGTGGCGTCAAGAGCAGGTTCCTTGCTGCAGCCAAATTGAGGGTTTTTGCAATGAGAGGATTCCCCAGCTATTGTTCTCCTACTTTTTCATGGAATGCATGGAGAATGTGCCACTAGGGCTGTAACTCTGGCAAAGTGAGACATGACGCATTTGCTAGTCAAACCCTGCAAGGGAAGCCAAGCAAAAGACACAGACTTCCTGTGTCCACTGCAAAAGAGAACAAGGGTGGTTTCCTCAACTTCCATTACATTTTCAGGGCTTGAAGAGAGTTTTTCTGGTTTTCCTTGAGGAACTCTTCAAACGCGGCCGCATCCTTCTCCAGGCATTGCTCAGCCTCTTCCAGTTTTCTTTCCTCGTTCTTTGCTACGTTCTCCATCCTTTGAATCTCATCTCGCTTTACTGCCATGGCATACTGAAATGAACCCAAAAGGCCACACAGTCGTGTCACCTGGATGGTCTTACAGATACATCAGTTTAGCTTGGTTCTTGATTACCTTATTACCTTGTGTTTGTTGGCAGACAGAGTAAAGATTTCAAATCAAGGTATGTGTCTCGGTTCAAACGAGATATTTGGAGGCCAGGAGATGTTTTAGTAGTAACATAGCAAATGCACAGTGAAATTAAAGACAGAATCCAGAAGTCCCAGCACTGCATTAATTCCTGGCTGACAAAGATGGATCCAGTAGCGTTACAGCACAATAATAGGGTGAATAATGGGGATATTCCAGCACAGCACAGCTCCCTTATTTTGAGTTCAGATTAGCTCTCTGGTTTAATTTATCTATAGGACAGCAGGAGCCAAAAGGTGTCACAAATGGAACAGTTGCATGTCTGCTACTGGTTGGTGCAAATGACCTATGCTCTTTTCTTTGTTGGTTAGGGATTGCTGGGCTGTAGACTGGGAGTGTCTTTAACATAGGACTTGGACAATCTGTTTATGAAGTCTGATGTGTGCCTCCTTGGTATGATTGCTACACAATGGATCTCAGGGGAAAAAAAACCCAACCAACTAACCAACAAAACAACACAGAGAATAATAATGAACTGAACAAAAGAACATTCTTAAAGCCAAGTACCTCAAGTGAAAATATCTCTCTTCTGTAATTTACGTAGTCACGGAAGGTCTCCTTTTCTAATGGATAATCTGAAATTAGGATGTAAAGTTGATCAGATGAGAGGGTAAATATGGCCAAGGCAAAATACAGTGAATGTGTAGGCTGCCATAGGCATGGATGTGGTTGGTGTTGGTTTCACATGGGCTTTCATGGAGTAAAACCAGGTAGAATGGAGTGGATAAACTAGCCTTTATCTGACTCTAGAGGTCAGTGTCCTCTACAAATTTAATGGCAGAGTACTTCTCATGTCAGAGGCAGAAAATTTAGGCCCACATCCACTTAAAATCTGACTTTAGGTCAGTGTAGTAGAAATATCTCCATGACACAAGGTCCTACAAACTCTCAGCTGAATCCAAGAGCTCCCAGCTACTGTGAAGTCCACAGGGGATGGTGGAGCCTAAGCTGCTGCAGTGGGGGTGGCACACATTCCATATGTAAATGCATGAGATGGAGATGGCCCAGCACACAGAGGTTGGTAAGATGCAGTATATAACTATTGTGTCTGCAAGAGCTCACCCAAGTCAGCTTTAGCTATCTGCTACTCCCATCCCCTCTCTGATTTTTGCTTTAGCTGTTACTCAGCTGAGCAGCAATACTACAAAGGTAGTAACTGTTCCCTACCATTTTTAATGGCTATCTTCAATGAAAGGCTCTCCTGAAGCATTTTCAGACTGTCTTCACTTGTTGCCTGTTTTCTGGCCTCTTCTTCTTCCTCCTTTTGCAGAGCTCTCCTGAACCCTTTTTGCTTTGCTTTTACTTTAGTGGAGTAAGTCATTTTCTCATGGATTTTCAAGTTCTTCATCCTTTCACGTTCCTATGAGGAAAAGTCAGTTATGTGGACAGTTTGATTATGTGCTTTGTTTGATGTGGTTTTTAAAGGCATGAGTGGTTATTCACAGTCTAAAAATATGCAGGCTACTGATCCCCTGCTGATATGTGTTTGCCTGGTTTATCTGAATAATCCAAATGATACTGTCTCTTGAGGCAAATGAAACACTTCATTTCTTAGTATTTGTTCTCATTAGTGTGTTGATTTGTATTCTGCATCCAGCCACCAACTGTGCCAGTTTGTACCTACTCAGTACCCTAATTTTTCCTTCCTGGATTATTTCTGGGAGAGAATAGGAATTTTCAGAGATCAATCCTTCAAGTCCCCTAGTAAAAGGGAACAAGAGGGCAGCCCATGCTCAACACCGACTCAGTGCAACTTTCACAAAGGCATGTAAACCTTCAAGTTCACATTGTGGGGATCTCTTCACACCTACTCCAGAGCTTTCTGGAGGGTAAAAGGTGGTTCAAGCTCAGTGCTTTAACATGGGTTGAAGTGTAATTCATTGCTGTCTGCACAGTTTGGGCATGGGTTAAGCTGAGGACATCACTCAGCAGACATCCTTAATGCACTTTTTCCTCAGCTCTTCCCCATACTTATATAGTGAACTTCAACCCAAGCAAAAAGACAGATGATATCGGTCACCAGTGTGAGGTGAGAAGCCTGCCTGAGCTTGTCTGGAGCCCTCCCTCTGTGATCTGGAAAAAAAAAAAAAGATCTCTTGCTTCCACACTATTGCCTGGCTTCTGCAACCACGTGCAACAATAAGACTTCTCAGAGATGTGACAACCTGTCCGTGACTTTCCATCCTCTCTAGGAATGCATGTCCTAAGGAAAGTCTGCTGCAGAAATAAGAAATAGAGGCATTCCTGAGACCCAGCTCTGTGGTCTGTTGGGTTGCAATTCTCTATCATATGGAGAGAAACCTAAGGCATGAAACACTTGTCATCCTTCTTCCTAGATGTTAGTTTCATTGGCAGTTCAAAAGAAGTCACATCAAACATTGGAATACAGCTCTCAGGCAGAAAGCCAAGCCTGTTGAAATGGAAAACAAGAGATCTTGCACCAAAGCTTTATGTAGAAATCAATGCTAACAGCACTGGCAGGTATCTTCTCCAGGGACAGGTGAATTTGTCTTAAGTAAACAAAGTGGCAATATCCAGATTTTGCACTAGCAGCCAGGGAGCCTCTGCTCATGGTAAAGTTAATCTCTTAACATGGACTTAGGTGGACTTGAAGCTGATTTGGGAAAATCTCAACTGAATTTGGCAGCTACTATTTCTCTCCTGCATTCCATTTTGGTATTATATTAGTTGGTGGCCTGTCCTAGGGAACTGCTCGTATAGACATTGGCCTGAAGCATGTATACATACCGCCTTAGCCTTTTTTCTTTCTTTGTCCCTTATTGAGAAAACATCAATATCTGGAGGAATTGTAAACGGATTTTTCATTGGGTTTTCATCTTCTTCTGGGCTTTCTGAAAAAAAAAAATGTATGAGGATGTAGAAGACCTGAGGAGAATATCAGGAGGCAGTGCAAAGGGACTCGGATTTGCTGCATCCCGCCCGAAGGGTGGGCAGCTGTGCTCACAGCTGCAGATGTCTAACAATGCTGAATCGAGAGCAGGCAGCTGGATAGGGCTCATCACAAGCCAGGGATGAAACCCAGACCTCTGTATTGGCTGTTCACTTGGACATATCTGCCAATCAGCTCAGGATTTCAGACAGGGATTTTTATAAGTCTGGAGCTGTTTTTCCCATCTGATGTGAGAGTGGGCAGAAGAGTGGATACAGGCATTTGCTTGGACCTAACAACAAAAAGCTGCTGCAGCATTGTGACCTTAACTGACAGCACAAGCTGGGTTTCTCTTCCAGGTTTGGAAGAGAGACTTTTAGATCTTGGCTCTGTGTATGGAGATGGTATTTTTGACCCTGTCCCAAACATACACACATACACAAAATTTGGAGCAACTCAGGTCCCTTGCCTCTTGTTCCACCAATGTCTCCACTGAGACTGATCCACACTTTTTCACCTCCTTTTGCTGGTTCACAAGCCACATATTTACTCCCTAAAGCTCTTACCAGCAATTGCTTCAGCACCGTGGGTTCCTTGCGATAAGGCTGAGTGACTGCTGGATGGCACAGACATGCTGTAGGGAACTCTCAATGTGTTTAATTTTGGGTTGGCAAAATGTTGAAGGTTAGTTGTGAGGTGGGTGTTTGGTTGTTTTGTTTTTTGTTTTTTTTTTTTCTTTCTCTGAATCCAGCCTTTGTGTAGTCTTTGCTCTGAGTCCTAGGGGAAAAGGCATAATTGTAATGATCTCACTGACAAAGAACAGATAGACTATTGTTAAAGTAATCCTTTAATCAGCAAAGGCAGCAAGCTGAGTTCAGTGAGGTAGTAGTTCAATTGATGCAATTCTGCTGCTGGGACCATTCCTGATCCACACTGGTATAATACACTGCAGAAAATATCCTCTTCCACTTGCACTAGTTTTCAGGCTATTTTAGAGCATCATTTTTTTTGCTCTGAACAGCCTCCATTTTTTATATATTTCAAGCTAAACGCATCTGGCCTAATTTCCAAGTACGTCCTTGGTGCTTTGTGTTTCCTGCTGGCTGTATTTCTGCAGTTGCCCAATTAGTATCTTACTCTTTGGAGGTATCAGACTTTTACTGTTGATGAAACACAGAGGCCAAGGTAGAATTTAGGCTGTTTGAAAAAATCCCAAATGTTTTCTCTATCCTTCTAAATTTTTTGAAGTACCTTTTCCAAAAGCTTCCTTGACTGCTTGCTTAGACTTGTTTCTCTGAACTTTGCATAACTTAATGGGATATTTCTCTCACCTACATCCTAGAAGAGTGTAAGACTTGCTGGTGATGTGAGTTTTGGAGAAAACCCCATCAGGGCAGGGGTATGAAAACAGACAAATGCCTGCAGTGTTCACTTGGATACACTTTGTGAAATATGCAGAGCAGTTGCAGCAAGCACCTGGATGTTCAGCCCTCTCAGTGCACACCGTGACTTCTGTAATCCAAAACCCTTCTCATTAAAATCTTCTTGTTCATGTGGTTGATTTAAATTCCTGCCACAGGGAACAGGACTGAAAAGTAGGACTAGGCAGAGGATACTGGTGTATGGAAAACAATTGTCAGTGCAACCTTCTGAGATAAGTGCTTCAGAATATAATTTTAGCAAAGTATAGGAATCTGTTTCTAAGATTAACTTATAAATATTCATTTTATCAACATTTTTTTGTTTGAGGTTGTTGTGCAAACTTTCTGTTTAAAAAAACACCATCTCTTTGGAAATAATGCTAGAAGCTACAGAAGTAGTACGCTAGTTGTGCTAATTATAAATATTTAGCTCAATAATGCACATAACAGTTCTGCTGCTAGAATCATTTGGCATATAGTTCACTGCCTCTGATATATTTGTTTGTTTCAGTACCTACATACCAATGGCCTGTAGTATGTGAAGCAATAGATAAGGCATTCATGGTTTTAATTTACCTAAACACTTATTTGGTGCTTTTGCCTAGCATCAAGCTTCTGCATGGAAAAAAAAAATATGCCAAAGTAAACATGCAAACAATTCTAAAAACTAATACTCTGAAATGCATCCACCATGTCCCCACAGCGCTGGAGGAGCGTACTTTTTATACACCCAAATGATGTAAATGACACCATTGCTTGCAGAGCAGGCTTGTTGTGCTCGCTGGGAAACCACTCCAAGTTCTGAGTTACAGAGCAGCTCTTCCAGGGACAGGTGTGTCCCATTTCCCAACACACCCCCCGCTCTCCCACAGAGCAGGAGAGGGTTAGTGCGTGTGATCTCCCAGTGACACTCTCCAGCAACTCTACTTGTCTGGGCGAGACACTGTCTCTGGTGTCCAAAACAGAAAAGAGATTGCTGGGATTGCCCTCACCCCTTTACTTTTCCGTTTCTCACCCAAAGGAGAGCTTCTCCAGGCTCCTCTCCGTGCTGGGGCTGTGGCTGGCTGTGGATGTGGCCGTGGTGCAGCTCAGCTCAGCTCCAGCCTTTCGCCCTACTCTGTTTGTGCTGCCATGGAAACCTGGGCTCCCGTTGCTGGGCAGCATCCGACCCGCACGCCTGGGAGGGTCGTCGCTCCCGTCTGGCACTCAGCCTCGGTCCCCTGCGGCTTTGCCAAGTGTCCCCACCCTGATGCTGAGCCAGCTGGGTCCTCCCAGCGCCCCGCTGCCACGGGAGGCTCTGCAGAATCACCCACCTGCCTGGGCATGGTGTGGGCACAGTGCAGGTCTGAGCAGGCAGCTGCCCGAGTTCCAGGTACACATCAGGATGGAAAAGGAAAAGGACTTCTGTGGTGTAAGAGAGCTTGCTGGGTCCTTTAGTCAGTATTCAAGTCCATATGGCTTGGGAATTGCGTATTTAACCCCATCGCTACAAGCAAAGCAGTGGGTTGAGGAAATGGGAGCTGGAGTCCCTGATGGTGGAAATGACTCTAATTTGCCCTTTCATAGCCTCTGCCCTGCTCTGCCTGTTTGTAAAGCCTGAACAGTCACAGTCTGGAGACTGTGTGGTGTGGGTGAATGAACTGTCACCTACTGGAGGTTCCCAAAGTCAACAGTGCTACAGAAACCCAAGTATCATTTTCCAAAATATCATGTAATTCTTAAGATGTAGGAAAAGATCCTTAAATCCCATATTTAGCCTTCCCTGTTTCTGAGAAGACCAGATCAATTCCAAGAGGATCCTGTTCTTCTCTTGACTCTTTAGACTCTCTATTAATGCAATTTCAGCTTTCTGAAATAGCACTTTCTTTCATTTACCAATAGGTTTCCAAACAGCTTTCTCCATCTGAATAACCCATGCAATAAATAGCATGGTTTTCTGTAAGTGCAAACTCCCTTTTGATTGTTATCATTCTTTTCTGTAATTGCTGATTATCAAGAGACTGGATTCAGGCAAAAGAAGGCAAATGCTTACACAAAAAGAAATTTGTCTTTATTCTGCACATGAATGCTTTGATTTTTAGCAGTGATGCAGAAAGCTGTGGTGCTATCTTTAGTATGTTTTGGGAAATTTCCCAAATGTATTGGGGACTATGTATAAAAAATGAGACTATAGAATAATTTCCATTACAAAAAAAAAATTCCAGAATAAATTGTACTTAAGATGCACTTTTCTAAGTGTATAATATCAAATGGTCTTTGTTCAGAAATACCAGTTTATTACAGAATTGCAAATTTGCTGCAGTGGTAACATCACAGAAATAGATAACAGAAAATTAAGACATTTGAACAACTGTGGCTCTGTCTGGCATAATCCCTATATCAATGAATGATACATTTATTTATTCGTTGCTCTTTTCTGTGCTATCCTTGCTAAACACTTATTTCCCCAAAATGGAACAGAGATTATTTGATAGCAGAGAGGTGAATTCTTGGAAATGTGCAAGCTCTTCATAGCTTTGATTCATTGCTCATGTCCCACACATGCCATAAACCACTTAGGCTTTGCATTTCCTTGAGGGCAAAGAAGATTTTAAGGCCAGAAGGACATCTGGGGTCTATTCTTAGCCACCATTAACTTGGTTAATGAATGGAATAAATAGCATGTGCAATATCATGGGAAAATCTGCCTAGGGAGTGGTACTGTAGCTTGTGAGGGATTTCTGGGTTCTGTAATGTTGCTTCAGGGCACCACATTTTGGGGCCTTATTAAATGTCTGATGCTTCCCTGGTGCACAGCTGAGAAAGACAGGCAGGTTGCTGCTTACTTTTCCAACAGGACGTCTGCAGATTTGGGGGCTCATAGGTGGTGGGTTTGTAGCACATGGGATTGGGATTTCAGAATATTGTTATTTCTTTGCTCCCTTAATGTCCTTCCTTAAGAAGGCACTTGTCTTCTCCACTCCTTGGTCACCCAGTCTGTGGTGTGAAGGGGTTACTTATCTTCTCCATTTTTCTCTGTTTGTGACGGGGGGATGCTGATCCCTTCCACGGAGGTGCTGTGAGGGTTAACTAGTGTTGGCAAAACATTTTGAAATGGCTGATTGAGAAATGCTGCCAGAGTTGAAAGCTGAATAAATATCTAGGTAAACAAATATTCCTTTGTAGTCTTATCATTGCGGGCAACTCCCTGTGTACCCAGGATGCTGCACAGGTCACAGAGCAGTCATCTCCCTGTTGCCTGGAGTCTTCTCAAGGGGACTCATTTATTTGAGTATCTCACTTTAGCTTCTGTGATGTGAGCCACAAAATGTACCATGTAAAAAGAAAATCCTGGCAGTAACTAGCAAACACTATGGAAATACCAAATGGATTGACAGTTTTTTCTTTCTCTGGATCTCTCGTCCTGTGTTTCCTGGTGAATTGTGCCACTGCAGAACCTGGAGCATCCCAGGAGGAAGAAGGGGAAGTCAGAGCCTATTCCCAGGGTTAGACAGAAGAAATGAGGAGGGATCCTCAAGCGAGTGTCCTCAAGACAGTGCCTACAAGAGCTCTGCTGCCTCAGTATGGTCTCTGGTGAGCTGTCAAGAGAAGTTTTTCTGCTGGTGGGTCTCTTTGGGACTCTGTTCTCCTGCCTTTCTCCTGCCTGGAGGGAAGGAGCTTCAAGATGATTATGAAGATCCCATGAGGAATATGTGGCTGCTCACACTTCCAGGAAAGATTTTATCTCAATGCAAAATTTTCCATCTGGAAAAATGTGTCCTGTGACCTTTGCACGGGCAGAGCCAGCCACGAGATGGCAGCAACTCTGTATCGCCAGGGCTGAGGAGCTGGCTCAGTCACCCACAGCTCCCATTCTTGCTTCTCCCTCCAACTTCTAGCCTATAGATAACGTCTCCAGGTCAGGTTTGATGAGCACCAAGAAACCCTGGCCTATCCTCTGAGTTGAAGGAGAAGTGCCTTCATAAGGGGGGCTCTTCAAGACCCATGAGCTCAGCGCTCAGCTTTGTAAACAGGCTGATGGAGCAGGACTCAGATCTTTGTGTCCTAGCACTGATCCCCAGCCCCCAGTCTGTTCCTGGGCTGTTTCATCCAAAATGAATTTGTGGTATTCTTTCAACTGATTTCAATGTAGTGGATGAAAGCTGGTACAATCTCTGAAGGGCCACATGGAAATGGCAAAAGCCCTGCCATCTGTCCTTTCACTGCATACGT